ATAATTTGAACTGTCTTTCACAGAACTTAAAACAAGGAAAATAGATATGATAGATAGAATATTGTAAATATTTCCATGTAATTTGGCTTGGGGGTGATGCACACCTTTAATCTCAGTACTTGGAAGGTAGAGGCAGGCTGAATTCTGTGGGTACAAGGCCAGCCTCTACAAAGTGAGTTCCAGGACAACCAGGGCTGTTACACATAGAAACCCTGTCTTGGAAAAAAAAAGTTGCTATTTCACATATATCACAATGAGTGCTATCGAAGGTACACATGTGCAAGCAAAACTTAATGTTAAATATTTCTGCATTAGAATTGTTATTGTTACATCATGACAGTCTCATGTAGCCTGGAGCAGACTATGTAGCCAAGGGTGACCTGTAAGTTCTGCTCCCCCTGCTTCCATTTCCCTAGTGCTGAAATTGAAGGATTGAACCACCACACCTGGTATATGCAGTGCTGGGGATCAAAGCAGGTATTCCTGTGTGCTGGGCAGGTACTTTACCAACTGAACTAATAACGCAGCCATATATTTGTGTTTGAGTGTTACTATTTTGCCTGACTTTTTAAATGATGACTTAAATCCTCTGTGGAATGCAGAAAATGTTTATATATAATAAATATATATCTTCTGACTAAGGTAGGAGTTAGGAAAATAGAAAGCTTTAGTGTTTGCCCAACCTAGGAGACAAGTTCACAGAGAAGAAAAGAGTAAGCACTCACGGTACACACATTTGCACATGCACACATAAATACACACACACACACACACACACACACACACATACACACACACACACCATGCAATGCAGAACATGAGTCATCACAGACAAAGGCAGGTACATGAAAACACACACACAGCCCAAGCCTGGAAAAGTGAGCTAGAACATGAGTCATCACAGAGGCAGGTACATGAAAACACACACACAGCCCAAGCCTGGAAAAGTGAGCTAGAGTGAGGTTGTGAACAATCTGCCAAGTCACACCATGTCAGATGAGCTGATAATTTTATAGAACAAGAAGTAATTATCAGAGGGCTTTAGTCTAGAAAGAGTATGATGCAGATGACAATCCTGCAAGCAGTGCAAAGATCAGATGAAGTGGAGGATGAACAGGAGCAGGAAAGCAGCCAGAAAGATCCTGAAATGATAAGGTCATAGAAAGATGGATAGGTCCTCACCATCAACAGGTGAGAACACTTCACAGGCAAACTTTCCAGGACTTAGGATTTGACTGAATCATGAGAGCAAGAGGGGGGAAAGAGCAAGAATCACCGAGGCTCTTACAGTGTTCAGGGAACTGAGAAATACAAAACAGTCCCTAAATCCTGAAGCAACCTCTACCTAACTACACTCACCTACGCTCACTCCCCATTGTGCCTGTAGATGTGGGCAGCTCTAGGGCAGGTGGCCCTCCTTCCCTATTCCTGGTGGCCTACAGGGGAAGCTCTAAGCTTCAGCAAGGGACCAGGAAAGACAGATTTTCACTTAGCTTGGATTGTGTGGTATGCTCTTAAATTTGTAGATCAGTGGAAAGCAAAATTGAACATTGTGAATGTACAGCACTAACTAAATACTTAGGAGATGATCCTGAAACCTAGTGAGAGAGTACTCAGAACAGTATCCCAATCAGATTTTAAATGACACCTTTAAAAATATACTGTTTAGTTTTAATTTAAAATCTATGCCAATCTACAGCCAAAGGCTTCCATTTTATTTATAGTAGGCTACTTACAAAAGGTACATTATGACGCCTATGCTCCAAATGTCGCACTGCTGGCTGTACTCATGGGCATTGATAACCTCTGGTGCTGCCAAATAAGCAGAAATAAAATAATATTAATAATACAATAAATGACTTTCAATTGCTTAAATACAAAGCATGAAAAATGTGCTGATGTGTTGTAATTTATTCCTCCAGAGGGAAAAAAAGAGCCAGCAGCAGATGCTGAATGAATAATGTACAGGCCTTCCAACTGATGTCACCAAATCCTCACTCCTATCAATTAGTTCTTAATGGGACAATGGCATAAACTGCATTGCTAAATATGCAGTTCGTTATTCCTGTAAAATGATTAAGTGATTTTACAAAGGTTGTGTAGTTATACTAGAAGACAATACTACCTTAGACTTTGCCCCAAATAGAAGGAAACACACCACTTAAGTAAATATTATTTAATCAAGGCCAATATGTATAAATCTGAATTCATAGAAAAGCTAATATTGTGGTTATGAATCACTTCAATAGAATAATTATAATAATAATTAAATATCAGAGCACTAAAATGACAGAACATACATTATTTCTCATATTTCCTAAGTAAGAAAACTGAGATAGAAATCACACTCACATAAGACTGGGTCAAAGCACCAATGAGTCCCAGTGCAGGATGAGATTCCAAGTATGTGACTCAATTCTGCGCTCTCTGATTGACAAAGGTGTTCACAACAGGGTCCCTTCAAACAGCCTCTCAAAGCAGCACCATGCCTTTAACCTTAAGATGGCACATGCTTTAAAGATGAGCTTTGAGGGGTTTGCTTTATAATGGCTGGCTTCTTAAAAACGCCACTATGATACCAAGGAATAGCTCTACTTTACTTTTACACATATAGATAATATTTCTCTAAAGAAAACAGTCACAAACACAAAAATAAGATTCATATATAGTTTTCAAAAGAACTTTAAAATTTACAAAGTGACTTTGCATAATAAGTTGTGTTCAGAATCCCATGAGCCAGTCATGAAGGCACTTGATGCCCTGTCAGTGAGGGTGGAAACCATGAAGACTTGACTGCAGTAGCACACTCTAGACTGTTTCCCATGGGAAAGCTGTGTGCTTATGGAGAAAGCATTCCCAGTCTTTTCCACTAACACACTGGCCATGTGCATGTATGCCCTCACATGTGAGTGCACCCACTGGAGCTCATGAATACACACACACACACACACACACACACACACACACACACACACACACACACACACACTTTTATAACAACCACTAAAAACATATAGAATTTTATTTTCCCCACTCTCTATATTAAAGAAATGGTAAACAACAAAAAGAAGCCAAAAGATACATAAGAGAATGAGAAAGAGCTAAACTATAAATAGTTCACAAATTGGATACTTTGTCTCCAAATAATTGAAAATTTACAGCATTCCTCTTTTTGCAGTTATTGTGTGTGTTTGCAGTGTTTAACTGCATGTAAAACTTTAAATACAGGATGAGCAAAGTGAAAGTTGTTCAATGGCCATGTGTCTGTCATGAAGGCAAATTCTGAGGTAAGATTCAGTGAAGGCTGCCTTACGGCTGTACACATAGCAGGCACTAAAACTCCTGGCCTCCACTTTTTCAGTCTTCCTAATTATCAGGGGCATTTCTACTTGCACTGTCATCCCAGCCCTCAGGGAGGCAGAAGCCAGAATATCTGTGCCAAGGAGCCATTTAGGAAGTCAGCAAAGCTCCACAAACCATCTGTCTTCCCTCTTGCTCTCTCGCTTGTTATCAGTGTAGACAACTAATAAGCAGGCATAAAACTCAGGGTGCTTGGATATATTTTCCCCATGTAACTACAGACCAGATGTCTTTTGCCAATGGGAGGATATGAACAGAATCTAAAGTAGCCTTCTCCCAAGTAAGATAAAACAATTTAAAAACTTTATGCATCAAGTAGGCAAAAAAAAGCACAATGAACAAAGTATACTTTTCAGCAATAAAAACAGATAAACTACTGATACAACAACATGCATAAAATAGCAAAACCGTTCTATGGAACAGAAGACACAAATAAGTACACACTGTATGATGTGAGTGCAACTGAATCTAGCGATGGGCTGCACTGGTAATTACTGGGACACCAGAGGGGAACTGGTAGAGAAAGTCAGGGTAACAAAAATGCTGTGGTCTCATTGGCATGGTGATTATATAAATCGGAGTTCACTGTGTAGACTCTGGCAATCCTCCTGTCTCAGCCTCCCAAATGTTGAGGTCATAGGTATTGGCTACCACCCCTTTCAGGTGTTCTACCTTTTTTTCAAGTCTTCTCACTTACCCATATAAATAGGAGTGCCGCACGTGGTCTGCATCATGCCTTCACTCCTGGAGCCATGCTTCTTGACTGCCAGGCCAAAATCAGTCACCTGAGAGCAGACACACAGCTCAGTCACTCAGTGACTTCCATCCACTGTAACTGTATTTAATCCTCACTTGCTGGAACAGGCTTTTCCCTGTATTACTAATAAAGACTTGACTTTCCCTCTCTGCCCACCCTCTCTGGGTGCAGAGAAACTTGGTAGTGAGAACCCAGGATGTTGACTGTTCATGCCTTTTGTTAATTCTTCTTGGTAAGGATTTTTATAAGTTTTTTCATCTGTCTCCACACAACACAAAATACAGCCTAGCCTTGGAATGTGTTATCTATTTTTCTGATGCTGGAGTTATGGTCCAACAAAAGCACTGTTTAAATAAAAATAGTTATCATTATCAACACTTACTAAGACTCTTCTTTAACATGTATAACTAATAAATGCTTGTTTTCCACTACTATTATGTCCTTTGTGAGTATCAAGTATACCACAATTGCTACACTACTTAAAATGAAGCAAATTAGCAAGGACAAAAAGGCCCATGCCAACATGGCCTGGCCACAGATGGCCTGAAGGCCTTTTGTTGCAACTTTAGTCTCCTGCTCCCTAAGTCTCCTAATTACACCTTCAGTTACTAAGTATTTGTCATGTGTCCTTGGTTGTCTCTCAAAATGGAATGCCCTTGGACTCAAAGCAGAAACAAAGGCACATAGGTTCTTTATTCACACTAAATGCAAATTGTCTGTACCTTACAAAGTATAAGGAAATGTTCCTAATTAACACATGACATCACCAAACCCATCTCTTTTTCTTTTATACAGGGTCTCACTCTGCAGCCCAGGCCAACTTAAAGCACACTATATGGCCAGGCTTGCCTTAAACTCATGGCAATCCTGTTTCCCCTCTCCTGTGCTGGGAATACAAGTGTGCGTCAGCATGTCTTGAATCAATTACTCCAGGACTTTCCATAAATAGCCCACTCGGAGCTTAAATCTATCTGTCTCCACACAACACCTCTACAGATACAAAACATATTAAAAACTTTCACGATCTAGTTCCACTACTTGGAGAGCAGAGTCTCTTGTTTACCAGAGGTTAACCGAGCATGTTGTCTCAGGCTCTCCTCCACATTCCAACAAAGAGCAAAATGACTGAAGTTCCTGCCTGCATGGAGTTTACAATGGACTATAAAGAACAGTCACCAAAGGATGTCAGCAGTGTTGCTGAGTCTGTTTCTACTGCATATGGAGTTAGCTTCTGCAATGGCAACTTACAGACACATTTGATTCTAAAGTTAACACTTGCACACATTTTGAAAGCAGCCACTATTTAAGTGCTAAGTAATAAATAATGTATTCTATCATTTATTTGACATTAAGGAACACTTAATTTGAATAAAATCTTCAAGAATAAACACTTGGCACATTAATTGTGGTTAAGACATAAATATTAATACCCAGGAAAAATTTCAATGAGAAATACAGACTGTAGCATTAATTTAGTATCAAAAGCACAGCCAAGGTGTGTTTTTCTCTAAATCTGTAACACATTTACATCAAATTACCAGACATAATTTTGAAATTAATTAGAATTCAGAGCATCTGTTTGCTTGCTATTAACTAATGATTTAGAACCATCCAAAGGAATATGCACTTTGAAAAACACAATCAGTAGCATCACTTAGCTTGTAAGATTATTTTTATCAGTTACAACTTCTTTTGTGAATTTTTAACTCCTTAGCACAAATGGCTTAGATTTGAAAGTCACCAAAATGTGTTTAAGATGTCTTTAGCCACTTTGCTGCTGGTTGTTTTCAGAGCAATACTGAGTAGGAGCTCTAGGCTCTCACCTTTATGTTCAGGTTCATTTCATTGTTATCATCCGTAAAGCTGCTTTTAACCATTATGTTCTCCAGCTTCAGATCTCTGTGCACTATATCTGCCAGGAAGACAGACAAGCACAGTGAACATCAGAAAGACAGAGAGGACAGAAACAGGACAGATAAATAAAGTATGAGGGGAGGCCAAGTACAATTCTTCCCTGTTCTGTTTTTACTTATGCCCCTCTTCTCTACATCTCTATCAGAAGCTGTTTTCTCATCTCTGTGTGCTCCCTGTTGTCCCAAACTAATGTCTCAGCCTAGTGAGTGTGGAAGGGGATCTGTCCGAGGCCACACAGTCCCAGGAGAACAAAGGCAACCTGGGTCACAACACAGGCCAGCTAAGGGTTTCTGTATCCTTGGGTCACAAAGCAGGGACTGTGCCTCTGTTATAACATTACTGTCAACATTAACATTTTAACACATTGTAACTTGGCTACACGTGCATACACTGAATTTCAGTGTGTTTTTCTAAAATATCAGTATACATTTTCATACTGTTTATATGTTGAAATAAAACCCACAGCTCTCGGGGCTAAACAGGTCAAATTTGAGGTGAGATTTCTATGTGCATTCAAATAGTGTATCAAACACTCCTCTGCAAATAACTGGCTGAGTTCACATCCACAGCAAATGCTTCCCAAGCTGTAGAAAGTTAAGTGTACAACTTCTAGGGAAATGCAGCACAACTAGACCTTGACTGGCAGTTGTGGCTAATCACTCACAGTTCTCAGATATCCCCCAGGCTTTGTCTTTGGAATTCTTCCTGATTCTGTTACTCCACCTGTCTCTACTTACATACATACCATGCCGCTTTAATTAACGTATTTTGTGATGTTTTTATCCTCCATGGGGACAAATCTCCCTAATACCCCACATTTTTATCTTTGATATTCTCACCCTTTTTAGAATAATTTTAAAAATCTCACCCCCCCAAAAAAAATGCTGTTAAGATTTTATAGAAATATACTGAAAAAGAATGTATCACTTGACAATGGAGAACTGAGACAAGCATGGCATTGGGCCTCTGCAAGTATTTCCTCACAGGAATCCTTCTCTTGTCTGGGCCTGTATTCCCACATCTAGTTCTGACACACAGGTAAGCTCCCTGCATTTCACACCACTCTCCATTAAGAAATCGCCACACTGGATTACAAGCTGTTTTCTGTACTCCATCTCCTGCTAGCCTAAGCTACTTGAGGGGCAGGGGCCCTAATTTTTTCATCTTCGTAACTCTAGGGCTGAGCACAACACAGTAGGTGCTGAGGAAACTGAGATCCCAAAGCCTGTCACTGACCATTGTGGAAAAAATACTTTCTCACCTGTAAAATGAGAATGTTCTAAAGCCACATCCAAGAACCTCAAAGAAAAGGGGAGCATGGGACAAAGTGACAGCAGTAACACTTGAGTCAGTAAAGCTATGACAATAAGCAGAGTTCTTTTTTAAACATGGTTGTTTTTAAGCATTATCAAATTACTCCAAATGATTTCTTCTTCTTCTTCTCCTTCTTCTTCTTCTTCTTCTTCTTCTTCTTCTTCTTCTTCTTCTTCTTCTTCTTCTTCTTCTTCTTCTTCTTTTTCTCCTTCTCCTTCTTCTTCTTTTTGGAAGTGTGGTCTTTTTTGGCACTTTTTAAATTAATTTATTTTTTACATTCCAATCCAAGTTCCCCTTCCTTCTTCTCCTCCCACTCCCTCCACTCTCCACTCCTCCCATCTGCTCCACAAAGTAGGAAGTCTACTGAGTCTGTCCCATCATGTATTTGAGGCAGGACCAAGGCACCTCTCCACCCCACACCCCTGTGTCTAGGTTGGGCAAGGTATCTCTCCATATGGCATTGGCTCCACTAAGTCAGTTTGTGCATTAATGTTAGGTCTTGAACCCACTGCCAGTGGCTTCATATATTGTCCCAGTCACCCCATTGTCACCTATATTAAGGGAGTCTAGTTCAGTCTCATGCAGGTTCCCATTTGTCAGACCAGGACTGCTGATTCTATGGGTTTCCCCATCATGATCTTGACTCCTTTGATCATATTATCGCTCCTCCCTCACTTCAATTGTAAGAGCTTGGCCCATTGGTTAGTTGTGGATTTCTGCATCTGCTTCCATCGGTTTGGAAGAGGGTTCTAGCTTCTCTGGGGTTGTAGATTATAGGGTAGGTATCTTTTGCTTTATGTCTAGTATCCACTTATGAGTGAGCACATACTATATTTGACTTTCTGGGTCTGGGTTAACTTACTCAGGATGATTTTTTCTAGCTCTGTCCATTTGCCTGTAAATTTTAGGATGTCATTGTTTCTTACCACTGAGTAGTACTCCATTGGGCAAATGAACCACATATTCTTTATCCATTCTTCAGTTGAGGGGCATCTAGATTGTTTCCAAGATCTGGCTATTATGAATAATGTTGCTATGAACATAGTTGAGTAAATGTCCGTGTGGTGTGAATGTGCCTCCTTTGGGCATATGCCCAAAAGTGGTATTGCAGAGTCTTGAAGTAGGTTGATTCCTAATTTTCTGAGAAATTGCCATAATGATTTCCATGGTGGCTATACAAGTTGGCACTCCCACCAGCAATGGAGGAGTGTTCCCCTTTCTCCACATCCTCTCCAACATAAGCTGTCATTGGTATTTTTGATCTTAGCCATTCTGATTGGCGTAGGATGGAATCGTAGAGTGGTTTTGTCTAAGGATGTTGAGCATTTCCTTAAGTGTCTTTCTGCCATTTGAGATTGTTCTGTTGAGAATTCTCTGTTTAGATCTGTACCCCATTTTTAATTGGATTTGTTTTTAGTTTGACGTCTAGTTTCTTGAGTTCTTTGTATATTTTGGAGATCAACCCTTTGTCAGATGTGGGGTTGGTGAAGATCTTTCCCCATTCTGTAGGGATCCGTTTTGTCTTGATGACCATGTTCTTTGATTTACAGAAGCTTCTCGGTTTCAGGAGGTTCCATTTATTAATTGTTGCTCTCACTGTCTGTGCTACTGGTGTTCTATTTAGGAAGTGGTTTCCTGTGCCTATGTGTTCAAGTATATTCCCACTTTCTCTTCTATGAGGTTCAGTGTAGATGGATTTATATTGAGGTCTTTGATCCATTTGGACTTGAGTTTTGTGCATATGGATCTATTTTCATTCTTCTACATGTTGATAGCCAGTTATACCAGCACTATTGTTGGATATGCTTTCCTTTTTTCCATTTTATATTTTTAGATTCTTTGTCAAAGGTTGGGTGTTCATAGGTATGTAGATTGATATCAGGGTCTTTGATTCAATTCCATTGGTACACCTGTCTGTTTTTGTGCCAATACCAAGCTATTTTCATTTCTACAGCTCTATAGGAGAGCTTGAACTCAGGGATGGTGATGACCCTAGATGATCCTTTATTGCACAGAATGGTTTTTGGCCATCCTGCATTTTTTTGTTTTTCCATGTGAAGTTGAGTGTTGTTCTTTCAAGGTCTGTGAAGAATTGTGCTGGGACTTTGATGGGGATTGCACAGAATCTGCAGATTACTTTTGGTAGGATTGCCATTTTTACTATGTTGATCTTACCTATCCAAGAGCATGGGAGATCTTCCCATTTTATGATATCTTCTTTATTTTCTTTCTTTAAAGATTTAAAGTTTTTGTCATACAAGTCTTTCACTTGTTTGGTTAGCATTACCCCAAGATATTTTATGTTACTTGTGGCTATTGTAAAGAGTGATATTCCTCTGATTTCTTTCTCGGCCCATTTATCATCTGTACATAGGAGGGCTACTCATTTTTTTAATTAATCTTGTATCCTACTACATTACTGACTTCTTTTCCAATTTGTGTCCCCTTGATCTCCTTTCATTGTCTTATTTCTCTAGCTAGAAAGTCAAGTACTATGTTGAATAGATATGGAGAGAGTGGACAGCCTTGTCTTGTTCCTGATTTCAGTGGGATTGCTTTGAGTTCCTCTCCATTTAGTTTGATGTTGGCTGTTGGATTACTGTATATTGTTTTTATTATGTTTAGGTATATTCCCTGTATCCCTATTCTCTCCAAGACCTTTATTATGAAGGGGAGCTGAATTTTGTCAAAGTCTTTTTCAGTATCTAATAAGATGGTCATATGGTTTTTTCTTTCAGTTTATTTATATGGTAGATTACATTGACAGATTTTCATATGTTGAACCATCCTTGTATCCCTGGGATGAATCTTACTTGGTCATAGTGAATGATTTTTCTGATATGTTCTTGGATTCAGTTTTCCAGTATTTTATTGAGTATATTTGCATCTATGTTCATGAGGGAAATTGGTCTGTAATTCTCTTAGTTGTGTCTTTGTGTGGTTTGCATATCAGGGTAACTGTAGGCTCATAAAAATAGTTTGGCAATGTTCCTTCTGTTTCTATAGTGTGGAATAATTTGAGGAGTATTGGTATTAGCTCTTCTTTGAACATCTTTGAACTTCTTTGAAACCATCTGGACCTGGGCTTTTTTGTGGTTGAGAGACTATTGATAACTGTTTCTATTTCCTTAGGAGTTATAGGTGTATATAAGTTGTTTATCTGTTCTTGATTTAATTTTGGTATATGTACTTATCTAGAAAATTGTCCATCTCCTTAAAGTTTTCCAATTTTGTGGAGTACAGGTTTTTGAAGTATGGCCTAATGATTCTCTGGATTTCCTCAGTGTCTATTGCTATGTCCCCTTTCATTTCTGATTTTGCTAAATCAGACAAAGGTTTGTCTATTTTGTTGAATTTCTCAAAGAACCAATTCTTTGTCTCACTGATACTTTGCATTATTTTCTTTGTATCTATTTCATTAATTTCAGCCTTTGATTTGACTATTTCATGCCATCTTCTCCTTCTGGGTGAGTTTGCTTCTTTTTGTTCTAGCACTTTCTGTTAATTCACTAGTGTGAGATTTTTCCAGCTTCTTCGTGTAGGCATTTAGAGCTATGAACTTTGTTCTCAGCACAGCTCTCATTGTGTCCCATAAGTTTGGATATGTTGTGAGGTCATTTTCATTAAATTTTAGGAAGTCTTTTATTTCTTTCTTTATTTCTTCCTTCACCCAGTGGTGGCTCAGTTGATCATTGTTCAATTTCCATGTGTTTGTGGGCTTTCTGAAATTAATGTTGCTGTTGACTTCTAACTTTAAGTTGTAGTGATCAGATAGGATACAGGGGTTTATTCCAATTTTTTGTATCTCTTGAGGTTTGCTTTGTTAGGGAGTATGTGGTATATTTTTGAGATGGTTCCATGAGGTGCTTTATATGTTACCTGGCCTTTCTCCTTTGCAGCTCCTAATATTCTTTTGTATTCTGTATGTTTATTGTTTTGATTATTATGTGGCAAAGGGACTTCTTTTGGGGGGGGTCCAGTTTATTTGGTGTTCTGTAAACCTCTCGTATTTTCATAGGCATGTTCTTCTTTAGGTTGGGAAAGTTTTCTTATAGGATTTTGTTGAATATATTTTCTGTGCCTTTGAGTTGGACTTCTTCTCCTTCTTCTATCCCTATTATTCTTAGGTTTGGTCTTTGCATGGTGTCCCAGATTTCCTGCATGTTTTGTGTTAAGGATTAGTTGGATTTAAATTTTTCTTTGACTGATGAATCTTTTTCCTCTAGTGTATCTTCAACACCTGAGATTCTCTCTTCTATTTCTTGAATTCTGTTGTTTATGCTTGTATTTTTGGTTCCTGATCATTTACCCAGATTTTCCATTTCCAGGATTCCCTCGGTTTGTGTTTTCTTTATTGTCTCTATTTCAGATTTCAAGTCTTGAATAGTTTCCTTCAGATGTTTGATTGCTTTTTTTAGTTTTCTTTAAGGGATTTGTCAATATCTTCTAATTTTTTATTTGTCTCTTCCTCCATTTCTTTAAGGGAATTTTTCATTTCCTCTTTCAGGGCCTCAATTATCCTCATCAAGTTATTTTAGGTCATTTTCTTCTAATTCATTTGTGTTGGGATGTTCAGGTCTTGCTGTTGTAGCACCACTAGTTTCTAGTGGTGCCTTATTGCTCTTTATATTTTTGAGTGTGTTCTTACCTTGTTGTCTACACATCTTTTCCTCTAATTGGTTTAGGTGGAGCTTTGCTTCAGGGAGTCTCTCTTTCTCCAATTGGTATAGTTGAGGGCTGTGGCTCCATTGACTCCTTCAGGCACAAGCAGAGCAGAGCCTCAGTGAATGTTCCTCCTGGCAGAAGTGGGCCCAAGGCTCAGGTGGTTGCTCTTTGAAGTGCAGGTGAGGCTACAGTGCAGATAGACGCTCCTCCTGTTGGAGGTGTAAGTAGAGTTGAGGGGCCAGTGATCAATGTAGTAGTGGGTTATCTCCAACCTTGAAATGGCAGCGGATGCTGGCTGGGACACAGGTACTCTTCCTGGAGGAACTTCTTGTGATTGTTTCTGGAAGCTACTGCTGAAAACAGATACTGTCGTCTCACCCAGCGGATGTTCAGTGCTCCTGGGCCTGAGGCTCAGGCCTCCCTCTGACCTGCTCCAAGGCCTGAGGCTCAGGCATCCCTCTGATACTGCTCTGGGCTGGTGGTTCAGGCCTACCTATGATGCTGCTTCTGGGCATGAAGCTCAAGTCTCCCTCTACAGCTGCTTCTAGGCTGTGCTTCTGGCCTCCACTGACACTGATCCAAGCCTGCATCTCAGGCTTCCCACTGATCTCCAAATGATATCTTAATAGGTAATATTACTATAAATTTGTCAAAACCAATAGAATTAAAAATACCGATAATGTAGAGCCAATTCCTTAGGGTGAGATGCCATGCTCAGTGGCAGTAGGATCATGATATTATCCTGGTACATGTGTTAGCTTGTTAGAGTCCACTCCCCATGGTGGGATGCCATGCTCATTCTTAATGCATGGGAGAGAGGCCTGGCCCTACACCAACCTATTGTGCCAGACTATGTTGACTCCTCATGGGAACCCTTACCTGTGAGTGGACTGGGGGTGGTCTATGGGGAAGTTAAGAGGGTAGAAGGAGGCAAGGGGTGGGAGGGAAAACTGTGGTTGGAATGTAAAATGAAATCAAAAAATCAAAAATACCAATAATGAGTCCTAATGCAAACTACAGAGTTTAGGGGACCATAATGAGACCACTCTGCATATGTGGCACCAGGGTGTATACTGGAAACTTCTGTTCCTTCTGTTTTGAACCCAAACTGCTCTAAAACTGAAGTGTACTATTTTATGAGGCTAGAACATGTACAGTTTTAATGATATTAATATACAACTATTTTAGGAAAATTCACTTTATCTACTTTGATTTTGATCATATTAGCTACGTCTTAAACTTCTAGAATAAAAATGATCATGACTGTTTGCTCTTCCATATACAGTGTAATTATATGCTTGCATTGTTGCTAATTAAAATGTCTATAAATATAATTAAAAGGAAAAATATGGAAATGTAATTATTATCCACTTACATTACCAAGTTCTACTAACATGATTATGAGTCCTAAAGATCATCCCACTTAAACAACAGTGATGTCTTCATTTATGGAGATGGTGAGGTGAACAGTCCTCTTCTTACCTTTGTTATGAAGATACGCGATGGCTGATGCAAGACTTTGAATTATCAACCTTGTCTCGTTCTCTGAGAAGTGCCCCTTTTTATCCAGAACTCCTTTGAGCTCTCCATCCTCACAAAGCTCCATCACCAGGTACATTTGCTGACATTACATATTTAAAATTCAGAATATGAGAAAGTTATGAGGTTATATGTATTATAAACCACAACTGTGATCACAATCTTAATTTATTCACTTGAAAATGTCTTACATACAAACTATTACACTGAATACAAAGGAACACAGGAACAGGAGACATAGTGCTGACCTCAGGAAGTTCAACAGAGTTACAATATCATGTGGTATGTACTAACAGTCTAACATGCCATGGGCCTGTGGAAGAGGCTGCCTTGCACAAAGAATGCTCACCAAGGAGAATTAAGACTGAATGTGTGAGCAGTAACTTCTGGGCAGGAAAGGTGGAGGAAAACCAGGCAGGTCTGGTGGCCAGTATATAAAGCCCCTAAAGCCTGAACAAAGCAGCTATTAGAATAACACACAGATCTCTGTTAACAGTACTGGAGACTGTAGGGTGAGAAAGAAGAAGCTGGCTAAGCGTGAGGCTAAAAGGAAATGGTGGAACAAGTTCGCAGAGCCTTCGATAGCAAGCTCAAAGACTATAGACTTCCCAAGCCCCATACGAAACAAGGCATTGGAGGTGTTAAAATCAGAGTCTTTAGGTAAAAGTTGTATGGTGTCAATTTTGCATTTCTAGGTCAACACTACAACGGTAATGTAAAGCAGGGTTCAGCAAAATTTTTCTATAAAGACCAAACCCAAGAGTAACCATTATGGTCTCTGTGGACAACATGGTCTCTTTTATAACAGCACAACACAGCAGCTGCCTCGAGATAAGCCATAAGCAATACAATGCTATATTTACAGACTCAGAAATCTGAGTCTGGTGTAATTTTAAGGTCATGAAACACTGTTCTTTCACATTTTGTCATTTATTTGGAGATGTAGAGAACTTATCTCATGGGCCCTATAGAAACAGGCAGCAGACCAGACTAACTTCATAGGCTGCCTGTGTGAACAGGGGGACCTGTGAGGCATGGGCTGAACACAAGAAAGGGGGTGGTTTCTTAGTTTTCTTGTTGTAATAAACTATCCTGATAGGGGTAATTTAAAGGAGAAAGGGTGTATTCTAGGTCACAGTTCAAGGTACAGTCTATTATGATGGGAAAGACGCTGGCTGGCGGCTTCAGAAGCATGAGGTGGCTGATCACACAGCATCCAATCAAGAAGCAGAGAACAGTGAGTGCTAGTGCTCAACTACTTTCTCCTTTTTAAAAACTATTTTTAAATTTTTATATTTATTTAAGTGTGTGTGTGTGTGTGTGTGTGTGTGTGTGTGTGTGCTTGTATGCCCCAGCATACCTTTAGAGATTAAAGCACAACTTGTTCTCTTCTACCCTGTAGATCTGGGGTCATGTCAGTAGACTTGGAAGCAAGAACCTTAGCCCACTGAACATCCTCACTTGCCCCCACTTTCTCCTTTTTATTTGGTCTGGGACCCCAGTCAATAAAATAGTGCTGCCCATAATGGGTGGGTTTTCCTACTTCAATTAACCTGGTTAAGATAATCCCTCATAGGCATGACCAAAGGCTCATTTAATGTAAATAATTCTTTACAGGTGTGCCTAAAGGTTTGTCTCCATGATGGTTCTATACTCTATCGAGTTTATAATATTAACCACCACAGGAGAAAAGAAAAAGATATGGAAAGTACCAAAGAAGAGACAGTGGAACTCAGTGACCAAGAAGCAAGGATGAAATGCCTCTTCTGTGTCTATTCTTTATTAAGATGTCTTTAGATATGTGACGGTAAGGTCACTTATTGAGTCAAAGATTTCTATTCAACTAAAAGGCATGCCTTTTCCATAGACACTGCCATCAGACACAATTACCCTCCAAGTTTCCATTCTCACATGTATTCTAGAGTTCTGCTGTTCTGAAGATTTGGGGGTCTAATGCTGTTCTTGTAACAGCTGCTAATCCAACGTCTATGTTCAATCACTGTGATTAAAGCAGAGAGAGATGTAAGTATCTTTCTTCCTAGAGCCACAATTCTGATTCAATAAATTTCAGGCTGCTTTACGATTTTAAAGTGTCTGAAACATCTGGCAAATAAGCCTTTGAACTGGGCCATACTTTCTTCATTGACAGCGAGCACTACAGGACAGCTAGGAATGTGAACTGTAAAGTGAACTATTTGGAAGGGAAAGTTGCATTAGCAATAGTTACAAAATAAATTAATGCCAATTTATAAAATGCACAAGATGGCAGTTGTTAAGAGCACTGTTAGAGTGCTCTTAACAACACTTAACAACTGTTGTTAAGAGCTACTCTTTGAGAAAACCAGTTCCATTCCCAGCACCCCCATGACAGCTCACAGGCATCTGTAACTCCAGTTCCAGGGGAATCCATCGCCCTCTTCTGGACTCTGAGGGTGCTGCATGAGGGTGGTAAAATAAAATCTTTTTTTAAATGTTAAATGTGTGCTGATCAAAGTTATCGTGATACAGTGTATTACTCAAGTCTTACAATTCTTAGACACAATTGTGCATATCTACAGCACAGGTGAGAAGAGTATCTATGGGACTAGGTGGCAGCACAGAGCCTGCAGAGAATAGCAGCAATGATAGGAAGGGAAGAAGCTGCTCAAAACTGCCAAGGTCAAGTGTGCAGCCTACAGAAATACACCTTGGAGAGCTTGCAGGTCCAGGGGCCTCTATGAATTCAGTAGATGGGAGTCCAGAAAAGCCAAAACAACTAAAGTTTCCAGGGAAGAATATCAAAGAGGGGAAATCTGTACACAGAAGAGAAAGAGAGAGAGAGAGAGTGAGAGTGAGAGAGAGAGAGAGAGAGAGAGAGATTCTTCCTAGAATCTTCAACAGAGTGTTAATCAGTATGTGCATTTTCCCCAAACTGGGAACTAACCATGTGAAAGGCCAGAGGGGACAGTTACTGGTGCTCATGCGGGGCAGGGATGCTGTGTTTCCATTAGCCAGAGAGAGACATCCCATAATTCATGTAGCATTAGAGAGACTATGAGTATTCAGAAGGCCTCACCTCAGTAGAAGGGGAAAACTAGTCCTATAGAGGATACTCTGTTGGCTGGCCTCGTGCACAATGGTAGCATGTCTGACTCAAGAGGATACTCTGTTGGCCCTCACAAAGGGCCAATCAAGCCCCAAAGGCACTGAACTGTCTCCAAATGACTCACTATGTCATAAAACAAAGTCCAAGAATCGTTACTAGAGCCAGACATGGCGGTGCATGCCTATAATCTCAGCCACTGGAAGCTGGGGCAGAAGATTCACTAATTTCAGTGTTATGTAATGAGACCATATCATCTCTCCTAAAAATAGTTATAAGAATATAAAACTCTAGCACCCAAAATGGTAATTTTTACAATATCTGGCAGCCAATTAAAATTAGCTGGTAACCAGGCTTGGTAGTGAGTGCACACCTAAAATTCTAGCACTCAAATGCTGACAAGGGAGGTTCACAAGTTCCAGGCCAGTCTGGCTATGTAAGAATTTCTAGAGCACCCTGGCCTACATAGTCAGACCTTGTATTAAAAGACAAAAATAGGGAAATAAATTTGTAAGTAACAGATGTACATAGTAATAAAATATAACCCAGAATGAAGGAGGAAAGGCCCATCAAAACTGAACTAACAATGATGTACACAGTACAATTAGTAGGAAAAGGACTCTAGTTCCTATCATTATATTCATGAAGTGTGGAGACACTGAGTATGTTAAGGTCAAATGTTGAATATACACATGAAGGAAATGGAATTTCCACTGGGTGAGATAATAAAACTTAGATGTTATTTAAAAAATTAGTGAATCTGAATTCATGGTAAAATACAAATTACACAGTCTGAACATGGCAAATGATGGAAAATGAGCAGAATAGGAGTATACTGTGAGCTGTGTCAAGTCATCTGGCATATGTACCAAAGTAGTTTCCAGAGTAGGGCATGGAAACAGAAAAAAAATACTTAAGGAAATAATTACTAAAATTTATTCTAAATCAGATGAAAATCAAATTCACAGACCCAAGAAGTTCTATGAACCCCAAGCACAAGAAATATGAAGAGAACTTTATCAAGATTCATCGAAATCCAACTGCCTAAAACTTAATATAAAGAGTCTGGAAAGATGGCTCTGTGTTAAGACCACTTGTTACTACTGCCGAAGACCGGCTTCAATTCCCAGCATCCATGTGGTGGCTCACAACTGTCTTCTCCAGATCCAGACAAGCTATAGCCCTCTTCTGACCTCTGTGAGCACAAGGCATGCAAAAGGAAAACAGACATACAGACAGACCAAACATTCATACACATAAATAATTTTTGAAAAACTGATGACAAGGAACAAAGTTGTTTAAAGAATACTTGGGGATAAAAGAAGTCACAATTCAGCATGGAGGTATAGCTTGGTGGTAGAAGTAGGCCAACACTTAACATGCACAGGCCAGGGGTCTGACCTTCAGGACCACCAAAAAGGAAAAAGGACAGCTGCCAAGCACTTTCAGCTAATAAAGTGTAATGCATAACCCAAATTGACTATTAGTAGCTACTTTCAAGTCTGGCATCAAAAATGAAAAACAATATCTAACATCTGATGAGACTGATGCCTTATACCCATAGTCCCATTCATCTTTAATCCTTCAACAACCAGATGAGTCAGCACTTCACAGGTGAGACACTTACACAGAGAGAAGTTGACCAACTTGGCCATGTTCTCACAGCTAAAAAGTGGGGGAATCAGGATTTAAAGAAACAGACCATCTGTTCACATGCCTAACCACATAGTATATTGCTTCCAGGTAGTGCAAGTGATGCCCACATTAATGGGGAAAAGAAAACCCTACAGTTAAGATTAGAGAATGATAATATCTAGGAAAGAAAGGAGACAAAACACACTGGAACAGACAAAGGTAAGAACTTGTTATTCCCTGTTTGGGTGGTATCTCTGGGAGGACTGCTCTTTCCTGAAGAGAAACAGAGGAGGAGATCTGGGAGAGAGGGATAGGGCAACTGGGGGGCATGGGGAACTGCACTCCAGATATAATGTATGAGAAAAAATTTTATAAGTATTTTCTACACCATGCCAAGTAAACCTCTTCACTTTGATCATGAAGCTAATCTTGCAATATCTTGACAATAATTGAATGGTCTCTAGTAGAAACAAAAACAAATGCAAAAGGATGCCATCTAGGAGAAAGCTCTACTCACTATTTGACTTGCATGAAGCTATTCTAATCTTAAACATTTGTTTCTAATGTGCCACCCACAACATGTAACTAAAGACATCAATCTAATCATTGCACACCTAATTATACAATCAATAATAAAAGTCCTGGAAAATGTTCTCATCAATCTCTGGTGGCAGGCTTTTGCCAAGGACATGAGCAACTGCACCCCAGAGGGCCACTTCAAAATGGAACAATATTCATTTTGTGATGATAACAACCTTCAAACTGTAGCACCTGGTGGAACTTTACCTTAGGCGTCTCAAACACTTGCTCCAGATGGATGATGTGTTTGTGTTTGACACTCTTTAGGATGTTCACCTCCCGCTCAAGTAACTTCACCGCTGAGCTTCCAGCCTAGTCAGTGAAGAAACAGATTGCATGTGGGAATGCCACTTCTACGCTCCTCAATATGAAAGTTATGTACTTACACCTTTTCCTGCAGTTTTGAATAGTGTCTTTCTTAAATGATATCAAGAACTTTATCCCATAATCAGATCAAATTTTGCCCCTTCTTTCCCTTGTCCAATTTTAAGTTGTATTTCATTTGGCTTCAATCAATCTCTTGAACTGTTTCTACAACTGTTAGCTACAACATGGCCTTTGACCCCTCAGAATTTTAGCATATCTTTTTGATATTCCCTTCAATTGAAGTGATCCTTTTGCATATTGGTAGGGATATCAATCAGAGATGGCTTCATAACAGAAAACTTTTCTTTTATGTCTTGTTTTGATCTTTTATATGTATGATATACAGAATATATAATATATACACATGACATATCACTTTTATATATATGCACACATACTAGGCAATGGGATCTTATATTTACCCTTGTACATGTTACACTCTGGTCTCCCTGATTAACTGAGGAGACAGAGAGACAGAGTCCTTGCCTTCAGACTAGTTCAATAGCCCCTGTGTCTCCTAACATCTAATCCTTACCATGCCTGGAACAAAAGGTAAAATGAAGAGATCTCCAGGGAATGCATGGTTGTCCTTCAGATGTAGGTAAGATTGTCTAATCATCTAGGAAATTCTAGGGTGCTCCCCTGATACTGAAATTGCCATTATCTTATAATATTCTCCTTTTTTATTTCTGTCTTTTTTCAACACAAAAATATTCTTGAAAGAGGTTATAAAGCAACTATTTCTGCACACACCTTTAGACCCAATTTGTGAATGTACACAATGGTTCTTAAGGGAACAGATTGATCATAAGGCAAACATTTTCTAGTTAAAATTTTACTTATGGCCATCCCCACTTCCAATTCCCTTTCCTGTTGGAGCTTCACCATCATTGTGTGAGGAGGATACTGACCACTCTGCTGCACCCCACTCAAGGAGGGTTAAAGCACATTTTAAGCTTAGCCTAGAGCACTGAGAAATAGTGACCATGAGGAGTGAATCCCTGTGAAGAGCAGATCTGGAAGGTTAGCACCATTTCTCCTGCTATTTATCTCAATTCTGTTCCTGCCTCTTCCCCCAAATGACTTGACATATATGGACTGTAATCATATACTGTTCAGTTCCTGTATTGACAGTATCATTTTATTTTGTTATTTTAGTATACTGTACTCCCAATATCAGTATATGAGTGAAAAATTCCTAAAGTGGCAAATATAATCCTCAGATTGAATCTTCAACCCTAACTGGCAACAAAAAAAGTGAAGAAACAGCATGCCAGGCAGCCCTGTGGTGTGTGTCACCTAGAGTTCAAAAGAATGTCACAGCCAGCATGCCAGGCAGCCCTGTGGTGTGTGTCACCTAGAGTTCAAAAGAATTGCAAAATGTGCTAGGAAGGCGCTTAATTGCTTTATTAAAGTTGATATGTCACCTCATTAAACTTGGAAATTTTCAACAATTACAAAAAAACACATATAGGCTACTATTTAAAATTTTATAGATCCAATACTTGTTACCATAAATCCAAGAAAAAAACACCATTGACGGTGTCATTTTGTTTCCTTATCCAGACAGAATTTTTTAAAGTTGAAGAGGGCTGATGAAAAGTTTGAGATCTTAGATTCTGCCTTAAGGAGAAGCCAAGTCCCCTGCCAACAAGTAATAGAGAGGTAGTACAGCAGATACACAGGGACAGTAGACTAGATTGGAGGAGGGTTGGCCAAAGTAAGGAAAGAGAATTAAATGAGACAATATAAGAAAAGTGTATCAAATAACTCTGGAGGGCAACAGGATTTACTTTCACCTGAGACATCTAGCCCTACACCTACATAAACTGAGGCCAGTTCTGACTTCAAATTCACTTGTGAAATTTATTTATTTGGTTATATTGACAATGTTGATGCTTTTGCATTTTCCAGACAGCACATGTCTACCTGAGAGCAGGATGTAGGCCCTTCACAGGAGACCAGAGCAGTACCCACGTTTCTCCAGCAGTTAGCCCAGCCCAGGCCCTCAAGGGAGACACAACTTGGGTTAGTGTGGAAAGCTGCACTGCCCACCCCTACCTTACCCTGGCACTGAACCCTGCGGATGCTGCACTGGGGAGCCTTACCTTCTCTTTATTCACTTTTTTAATTGCCCACTTAGCTCCTGTTTCTTTGTCTGTAACTTCAGTGACCATTCCAAAGCTTCCCTGTCCCAATATTCTTCCGAAGGTATAGAATTCCTGGAGACAAAACAAGAGTTCCTCTGTCTCTGTGGCATTCATCAGGAATTAAGAATGAACACACAGTACTGAGAGATATCAGCCCAAGGGAGGAGGAATTCTGATCTAGGGTAAGAGCAAATAGTGACACTATGAATTTGCTTCAGTAGTAACAAATACATCTTAATTAGCCACAATCAGGTTTCAACGACTTTTAATAATTATTTACTTTTTGCAAGAAAACCACAAAACTTCTAATTGCAAAATGGGGGAAGTTCAAAAATATAGAAATTGATTTCTTTCAATCTACACATTATAAAAATAATACTATTATAAAATTTCATTAACAAAATGAAATATTTCATACAGAAAAGTGAAATATTAATAAAAATATTAACTTGATGTATACATACATATATATGCATAAACAATACATTCAGCAAAAGTTCCCCCCAAAACACTGAGAGTCACACTCATGAAATCAATGTTAATAACCATCAGACAGACTGGGTTGTAGCTCAATGGTTGAGCATTTGTCTGTCATGCAAAGAACCTTAGTTCGATCCTAAAAAAGTGAACTGCCTCCTTCTTTAACTAAAAGTGCTTTTTATCTCCTTAATCTGTGTATTAGTTTTCTTTCCATTATTCATTTTATTCTAGAAAAGAAAATAGTAACAGAAAATTTTAAAAATCAGAAGCAAGAAGAAAATACACTATCCATGATACTACAATCTAAACCAGTGGTTCTCAACCTTCCTAATGCTGCAACTCTTTAATACAGTTCCTCATGCTATAGTGGCCCCTAACTATAAAATTATTTTGTTGCTACTTCATGACTAACGTTGCTACTGTTGTGAATTGCAATGTAAATATCTAATACACAACCTCTAAGTGGGTTATGACCCACAGGTTGAGAACCATTGACCTAAATCAAGAATCTTTCTGACTTACCATTTAATTTTTGTTTTCAAAGAGAAAATGGATTGGTTTGGCCAACAGCAGTGTTCTGGTTCACAGTGCAAAATAAAAACCACATAACTCATTACATTTGCATTTCTTGAGGACTGGCAGGAGTCAGATTCTGTGCTGCAAATCATCTGCAGAGTCCTGATGAGTTTCTGAACCCATCACACACAGGGACTAACACATGGGACAACAGTGAGTCACAGCCACCAGGTGCAGCCTCTGTGGGGCTGGACTGCCAAAGCCTCCCTAGAGATTCCACTCTGTGTGGTTACTTGACCAAACAGGTCCTGCACTGCTCACACTTTCTTCTGTTTTCATTTCTGTCTTGCTTTTCTAGAAGACTGAATGCCCCGTGAAGGGTTTCCCTCCTGAGCTGTAACATGGTGACTGTCCCTTTACTTTTACTCTCAGCATGACTGGTCCTCAAATATTACTACCACTTTCTTGCTTATTCTGATTCATTTTTAATTTTTAAATTAAATGAGATGGCTGCTCATGGAACTATTCCTTTTGTGTCTCTTAAAAAAAACCTCACCCCTTCCTTCCTGATACCATGTAATAACATAGTAGTGAGAATGGAAGTCAGAAAACTTAGGTAATTAATTACAAAAACAAAGACATTTAAATTTTGTTACATTTACATGCAGCTCTCATCTAGGCTTTATATATTATATCTTCAATAAAATGGTCATTTACCTGAATTTCCCCCCTCAGAACAAACTCATCTTTTTTTACTCCTTTCCAAAATTTATCCCCAAAACTTAAACATTTATCTCTCTCTAAACATACAGAACCATAATTTGGATAGAGTATTATAACAGTGGTCTAAGTAGAATGTTTAAAGTAGATAATATTCCATTATATTTATAATTTAAGCTTTTCTTCAACTAACTGCCTGGTACATTACCCCAAAATGCTGAAAATAAAAAAGGAAATGACTTATGGGCTCTACTAATTTTAAGGGGATGGGACCAAAAAATGGTATTTTAGAAAGGTTTGTATTGACATAGGAAATTGTTAATAGTATAAAACATAAAAAGCACCTGTGACACAATCCCTTGTTAAACATGGGTTATGTGGAGATGCTGATGTTGATGTCTAGAAAGATGCTCTTCAAAATATGAAGGATAGCTATGTGTAAAATCATAAACAACTAACTGTAACTTTGTTTATTATTCTCTCCCAAATAGTCAAAGTATTTACAATCAGCCTGTCCATGTTAACAGGGAGAGAAACCTACATTTCAGCTATCATACTGAAGGTTACTTCTCTAAAGTATGCATAAATTTCAATATTGTACAATTTCATGAAGAAAAATAGGGTAAAATGAAGTAAAGGTAAATACTAAATTGGTCATCTCTAACTCACAGCTACATTTTCATAATGAACACATTTTGCTTTTAGAAAGATTCTTGTGGCTAAATTTAAAACTTGGTAAATTTATATATTGCTTTAAGTATGTTTTATTTCAAAAACAGTTTACACTTTCTAAGTCAAAATGTTTCAAGTTTTCCTAATAACTTCAAATAAATTAACAAAACAATTCTTAAAGTTACATAATATGAATGCAGTGTTTCTTATGATTATTCTCTTCGTAGTTCCTTTAAGCATATCTTAAAGGGATATGCTTTAATTTTCAAATGGTTATATTTCTTTCTCTTTTTCTGCTTTTGTTCTTGGGTGTAACATGTTCATGTGTGGGTGTGCATACCATGTGTTCAAGAGTGGGTGGAGGTCAGAGGTCAATACCAGGTATCTTTTTCAATCATTTTCCACCTTAGTTTTCTTTTGTTTTTGTTTTTTTTGTTTGTTTGTTTGTTTTTTAGAATAGGGCCCCAGGAGTCCATCATCTTTATTATAGTATTGCTAAGTGACTCCAATGTGAAGCCAAGGTTAAGAAACTCTGCTTGATGGAATTGTCATGTAAAACAATCCTGTTTCTAATTCAAATAAAAAAGTTGGGAAAAAAAAAAGAAACCCAGCTTGAATCTTTTTCTTTTCCTTTTTTCTAAATTTTAATTAGAAACAAGCTTGTTTTACATGTCAATCCCAGTTCCCTCTTCCTCCCCTCCTCCCCTGACCCCCACCAACCCCTTATCCTACCCTGCTCCCCAGGGAGAGTGAGGCCTTCCATGGGGGATCTTTAAAGTCTGTCATATCATTTGGAGCAGAGCCTAGGCCCTCCCCCATGTTTCTAGGCTCAGAAAGCATCCCTCTATGTGGAATGGGCTCCCAAAGTCCATTCCTGTACTAGGGCTAAATACTGACCCACTGCCAGAGGCCTCCTAACTGACACCCACATTAAGGGGGTCTGGTTTGGTCCTATGTTGGTTCCCCAGCTGTCTGACTGGGGTCCCTGAGCCCCAACTTGCTTAGGTCAGCTATTTCCATGGGTTTCCTCAGCATGGTCTTGACCCCTTTGCTCATCACTCCACCCTCTCTGCAACTGGATTCCAGGGGTTCAGCTCATATTTAGCTGTGGGTGTCTGCATTTGCTTCCATCAGCTACTGGATGAAGGCTCTAGGATGGCCTAGAAAGGAATCATCAATCTCATTATAGGGGAAGGGCATTTAAGGTAGCCTTTCCACTATTGTATAGATTGTTAGTTGGGGTCATCCATGTGGATCTCTGGACATTTCCCTAGTGCCAGATTTTTCTTTAAATCTATAATGGCTCCCTATACTATGATATCGCTTTTCATGCACTCCTCTATTCTTTCACTGACTCAAACCTCCTGCTCCCTCATGTCTTCCCCTCCCCACCTCTTCTCTCCTTCTCTTTTTCCTAACTCACTCTCCCCTCCCCCCATGCTCCCAATTTGCTCAGGAGTTCTTGTCCCTTTCCCCTTCTCCAGGGGACCATGTATGCCTCTCTTACAGTCCTCCTTGTTTCCTAGCTCCTCTGGCTGTGTGGACTGTAGGCTGGTAATCCATTGCTCTATGTCTAAAATCTATATATGAGTGAGTACATACCATATTTGT